TTTGCCGAAGAGAGTGCTGTTTTCCATGCCCAACTCAGAGTGGCGTAAACAGAGAGGTGGCCAATCCTTGACTTGGCAGAGGAGTATGAAGGAGATCACGAAACGCTTGGGTGCTGTCAATGCTACTTGCCTTCCAGGATGGGGACCGCGTGACTTTCACTGTGCCTGGTTGGAGACCCTAGAAGATATAACTGCCAACCGATGTCAATGGCGTTCTTGTCGTCCGTTCCTCTCCAGATCGCCTGAGTGGATGTCTGGAGGTATAGACACCTCGGAATGATTGTGATAAGCTAGCACTAAGTCCCTCCCCGTCCATCTTTACTATTTTCTTTACAATAAGGCTCTCAACTAAATCGTGGTTGTATGACAATGAAGCATCGGTGTTGAGCACTGAGGTCATGCTGTCGATGATGATGATAACGACGATTGTATCTATGCCCAACCTAAACGTGCCACCAATCCGTGCCTCAGATGAGCTAACAGGCCCTATTTGTGCGCTGGAATTTCCTGCGATTAGAACTGTGTCCTAAGTTGTGGGTGTTTGGCCGACGTACTCACATCTGATATCGACGGAAAGTTGATTAAGTGGAGGTGGAGAGGAAAAATGGGCGGTTTCATTAGTCGCTTGTCTTCGCCTATTCGGCTCACTGGGTATGCGGCTAATAAAGTGACTTGGTCGATGTTGCATGAAAGTACTTCTTTTTGTAATGTACTACTCATAAGGTTGCTGAAAATCCATCGACCATCCAACACCATAAACGAGAGATTCAGCTGGGTTCCAGGTGAGTCTCTCGAAAGAACCAAATTAGTTTGCAAATGATACTCTACTCGCTAATTTCGTGCAATTTGGTTTCAAGTAGAACATAAGGTTGACGGAAACCCGGGGACTGCGCCTACCTGATGAGAGAAGGTCGAGTCGAAACCGGTCGTGGGCTGTCGATGGATTTTCAGCAACCTTATGAGTAGTACATTACAAAAAGAAGTACTTTCATGCAACATCGACCAAGTCACTTTATTAGCCGCATACCCAGTGAGCCGAATAGGCGAAGACAAGCGACTAATGAAACCGCCCATTTTTCCTCTCCACCTCCACTTAATCAACTTTCCGTCGATATCAGATGTGAGTACGTCGGCCAAACACCCACAACTTAGGACACAGTTCTAATCGCAGGAAATTCCAGCGCACAAATAGGGCCTGTTAGCTCATCTGAGGCACGGATTGGTGGCACGTTTAGGTTGGGCATAGATACAATCGTCGTTATCATCATCATCGACAGCATGACCTCAGTGCTCAACACCGATGCTTCATTGTCATACAACCACGATTTAGTTGAGAGCCTTATTGTAAAGAAAATAGTAAAGATGGACGGGGAGGGACTTAGTGCTAGCTTATCACAATCATTCCGAGGTGTCTATACCTCCAGACATCCACTCAGGCGATCTGGAGAGGAACGGACGACAAGAACGCCATTGACATCGGTTGGCAGTTATATCTTCTAGGGTCTCCAACCAGGCACAGTGAAAGTCACGCGGTCCCCATCCTGGAAGGCAAGTAGCATTGACAGCACCCAAGCGTTTCGTGATCACCTTCATAGATACAGACATCTTTTAAAACTTCCAGCTAACCGCCATTTAGTTCTAGGCAGCGCTGGTTTTAGGCGAAGTGTAAATCGTCGCACCGTCTGGCCTACTCTGTTGTTGAACAACCATGGTGCCACATCGATCACAGTTAGTGGCTACTGATGGTGAGGATTAATATTCGACCACATACATAAAGTCATATTGTCATACGTTACAAATTTTCAGTGAATTTCCCAGTTAAACCTAATAAAACCTCCGCTTCGCATTTTAAAAGGCTGCCGGGCCACGAATCGAGAAAACAAGCCAAAATATGCCGTGCAAAGCCTTAAAAGCGGCTTCCTCAGAAGCCAGTACTCTTAGCGGAGAAGAGATAGAAACTGACGTACACAACGCTGGAAATTCAGCGTATGCTGTTTCCGAGCGAGCGCGCACTAACCGCACGACTGTTATTTTTCAATTATTAGCACGAGGTGGTTTTACACCTTCGGCCTGTTAGACGTCAGATTAGACAATGGAGGCGTGATGGGACCGAAAAAGCTCAAGAAATGGATATTAATACGGAAGAAAACGCAGGAAAACTGTTCCTTCAATAGACAAAACAAGATCAAGGGTACCATCTGCGAGCGATCCTATAAGAGAATATTGGAAGCCCGATATACCGTGAAAACTAGAGTTTATATCGTAAGGTAGAACAGAACATCACAGAGTGCGTCACCTAACATGACAACTGATGACTTTTCAACGCAAAGAAACACTGAAAACAGCCCTCACTAGTTACTTGGCTGCAACACCCATCATATTAAATCAACCGTGATTGACACGCTTACCATTGTAGTATATTTCAAAAGCGCCAGTCGACAGAAGCTGCCCCTCGATCAGATTGCCAATGAGGAAGGCCGTTAGACAGAAGGAAACCTATGCAAAGGAAAATGGATAAGGGAAGTTTTGTTAAAACAGAGAGAATGGATCCATCACTGTGCGATAACGAATCTTTCCTAGGGGACAGAGGCTGTCCCAGAGGCAAATATGGGGCAGTGTTCGCCGAGTTCTTAAAAGGAGTTTCGCTGGAGGCAGAAGAGTTTGCGTTACAGCTGGTCAGGGCTAGGAGCAGCAAAGGACATTCAAAACAAGCTGGACGAATATCTGACGAATAACTGGTGCCCCGTTCGACCTTGAGGGTTGGTTATTCTGAACGAATATACGGTATTTATTGCACACAAAAATTCGGAGAATATTCAGGATTGGCCTAGAAATTGTAACCTGCGATTTTGTGAGACAGTACTGGAAAACTTCTCCCAGAAGGAATAATGGGTATATAGCAAACATGCTCAAAAAATTTGTGTAACAGTCGATTCGGAAACAACTGATAGACGAATCCAATGGAAATCCCAAAAGTGCTTAAACAAATATAATTCAAGACGAATCTCTGGAGAATTTCAGCAGCCTATCCACGTTCAGCAGCACTGCTGCTTTTGTTAACGAACTGTCGAAGAACTGTAAAAATTGTTCTAAAGAAAACTTTCTTCGGCTTCTGTTCTCAACAAGAGAGTCAAAATATTGAATGAGAACTTTATTTAGAAAGACCGAAACTGGTAGGCCACAAGTTACGAGTCTGTCTATTTCTGACGGATGACTTTCAGTCCTTTTCTCACCGCTGAGCCGTGGTCGTCCTTATTTACCGACCGCACTAAGAGAGATGTTATGAACATCTCGCCCCTTCATCATCATCATCAACAACGACAGCATATCAGTGCCCAACACTGATGCTTCGCTGCAGTACAACCATGATTGATTTCAACGCCTTGTGGTGAAGGAGCAAAATGGACGGAGAAAGGAATTAGTGCTATCTTAAAACAATCATTCCGAGGTGCTACTCCTGCACACTCATTCAGGCAATCCGAATAGAAAATGTCAACAGGGATACCATTGACACCGATTAGTAGCCATATATATGGAAGCGTCTCCGACCAAACACCATGAGGATCACGTGGTTCCTATCCTGAAAGGCAAGTAGCACCGACAACATCCACACGGTTCGTTACCTCCTTCATACGCTTCTGCCAGATGAAGGGTTGGCCATCTATCGGCTGATGTCACGCTGAATGGGGGGCACGGAAAACAGTACTCTCTTCGTCAAGCGATGGTTCGACACACGCAGTACATGGCCTAAGCAACGCAGCTTCTGGTGCTCGATACATTCGCCAATGGAAGTCCCTGTTGCACAACCGGAAACACGCTTTCTGATTGCCTCGCCACGGATTCGCCGACACCTTCCCACACGAGGCATGGTTCTGGGGCGACAGTCGTCGAACACCTGAAGAGTCTCAATTCCGCCGCTCGAACAGGTCAAGTCTTACAGGCATACAGGAAAACAGTCCTTGATGCAACCTACGAGCGTAACATGTCCGTTGAGATTCAGGGATTGGGTGGCGTGTTCAGTGACTGCATGTCCACGAGTGTGACCTTACACTTTGTGCGTTCACAGTGCACACCAAAGGACGGGATAACTTTGGTCAGTTCATTGAAAAACACCTGCACCTTCACCTCCTCCTAGAAGACGAGAACGATGTCGTCTGCATATTTCAAATCGAACACCAGATTGAACACCAGGGATTTGAAGACCTTCCAGCGTTCGCCCCATTACCTCATCGATCACGAGATTAAATAGGAATGGATAGAGTGGGTACCCCCAACGGATACCCCTTCGTGTACGGAATCATTTGCAGAGCTCGCCGTATATTGTCACACGTCCGGAAGTCTAATAATACAAAGGGCCTATTATATTCACAAACTTCCTGGGCATTCCTTGATGGCCGAGCGTATTAAGAACAGACCGATCAACCAAGTTGAACGCGTCTTGGAAACCCAGGAATACTAAAATTGTGGGTCGTTTGTACGCAGGGATTTATTCTAGCGCCTGACGGAGTGTGAGGATTTGGTCAACGCAACCCCTACCAGTCCGAAATCCCACTTGCAACTCTCGAGTCACCGTATCGCGAGCCACATAAGGCGACGAAGCACAAGTGATGTCAACAGCCTCGTTACAACCCGGGTCAAGCTGATCTCTCCTTGGTTATCATACTCACTACAAGAACCTTTTTTTGAAAATGGACACTATCACCTATCCTTCCCAGTTGTCTGGATCAGTCTCCTTTTCCCAAACACAGGCAAACAGATTAGAAAAGCACTAACTGAGGATTTCACACCCATCTTGAAACAACCATATGAGAGGTCGTCCGGACCAGAATCTCAGTGGCGCTTGAGAGAACACATGTAGTCATAAACCTCCGAGGCCGTAGGATGTAACACGTTCACCATCAAGGGTTCTATGTCAGGTGTGAGCTCCAGATGAGTAACAGATGGTGGCCACGATAATTGCTGTCCGAAGTATTCGGCCCACTGGTCAAGGCGTTCTTCTTTACTAAAGCTAGTCGCTCTATTCTGATCATTGGTGGTTTTGCTGACACGTGGTTTTCGGGGACCGGTCGCATGGAACAACTGAAAATCTCTGAGGGTTCCCGATTTTCTGAACTTCTTCCATTTGCCTGGCTCTGCACGTCCACCAGGCTTCACCACCATCACCATCATCGACAGCATGACATCAGTGTTCAACACTGATGTTTCGCTGCCGTACACACCAGACTTTACGTTCGGTTCACTCGCCCACTTTCACTTCTAGTCTAATAATTCGTCAGGCCAAATCATGTTCGGGACAGGCTGGGATATTTCTCCGAGATTTAAGCAGTGCCACCATTCGGTCTGATATCCAGTGACTGAGAGGGACTGGTAGCACCGCGCCACAGGCCAAACTCCCAGCACTGTGCAAACCGGTGACGATCTCGTCTGGGGCAGTTGGAGGAGAATCCAGATGATTCTTATAAAGTCGTCTAACAATTGGATCTGCCAGGCTTAGTTGATAAGCGATATGTCCACACCTTACGCGGTCCTGGAAAACGAAGGGTAAGGCGACTCCGGACGAGCGCGCAGTCGGAATTCACAAATGGGCTACAAACCGAGTGGCAGCTAGCTATCGATACGATAACTAAGATAAATTTGAGTTCGTATCCGTCCCGCTGTTGGGGGACACCGTGTGACCAGACGACTTCGGCTGTTTCGGAAGTCAGTACCCCCTTAAAAACAGCCTGCGGTCAGCATACAACCGAAGCAATCGCACTCAGTCCAATCCATGTCGACCACCTAATTTAGTCTCAGATGCGCTATGCCTGCTCATTCGTGAATTCAGATCTCCGACAACCAGAACAATACCTGAGCTTTTAGCTCGCCGCAACAGGGTATCCAGGGTGTCACAAAACTTGTCTTTGATGGTGTCAGAGCTACAGTCAGTTGGAGTGTAAGCAGACACGACAAACAGACATCGGTCAAGTTGCCGCTTGTAAGACTCCTTCACAGACGTTGCCAGACGTATGGCACACAATGGGTATCCCGGTGACCTAGGACGATAACGAAACCCGCACATACTGTCGCAGCAGCGTCTGAGTCGCTTAAAGTGCCATCATGACTTTTGTGTGATTAGTATACTTACCCTATATACCCGTATTGAACCTTTATATGTAGATTTCAGTTCACCCACACTTGTTCTTAGACAAATAAAAGGTTTATCCTTGATAACCCGGTCTGTCTTCTAGCTCGCTCTCGGACACATTCTAGACGTCTTAATTTATGTGCATAAGAACAGGTGTGAATGAGCATGCACTAATTCACACAGCATGGAATCGTCTCAACGGTACACTCCGGAAGATAAGTTTGGCGTTGAAATCTCACAATCTTCCGCCTTCCTGTCGGGAATCGGTACTACCTGATGCTCTACACAGCCTGCGATCACTGTTACGTACGGTCACTAACTGTACTCCATATGACCGTTTGTTTCAATACGCACGTTGCTCAACATCTGGAATATCGCTGCCATCTTGGTTGACCACCCCTGGTCCAGTTCTGTTGCAACGAGGTGATTGGTCATCCATATATCAACAGCCAGTAGGAGGAATCGATCTTCCGAACTGCAACCCACACTACGCACACATTGCTCAGCCAGACGGAAGAATCGGAACCGTGTACATTCACCGTCTAGCCCCAGCAATTCAGGATACAGCTGACGACGTTTTCCATCTATCTGAATACAATGGAGACAACGAAAACCTAGATACGACTGAAACAACCGGATGTCAGCCCGATAGCTCTGAAGCATCCGAACCCCTCCGGTACCCTCCTCCGAGCACCAACCGAGTTATCCCCTACCACGTCAGCACATGTGCCCATTCAAACAATGCCGTGGTGAATACTATGATTCTTGTGTGCTTATTATTACGCTTACCTTATGTACTCGTATGTAAATTCCAGATCACTGACGCTTGTTCTTAGACAAGTTAGACGTTATTTATCCACGACAACCATGGCTTTCCTCTAACTCGTTCTCGGACACATTCTAAACGTCTCAGTTACGCAGCCGGTAGCACCCAGATAGGCTGTGTGTCGAGCCTTGACGATTGGTTTCGAGATGCCTGAAGATGTCGGCGCCGGAGGCCGTACAGAAATGGCTTGTTAAGCCGATGCAACACCAACTTCTGGGTCTGAAAAGAGTTAATAATGGGGTGGGGAGAGGTGGGAATGTGTGTGAAGTGGAAAGGGAGGCATCAGTCGTAGCTTGCTTTCGACTGCGCACTCTGCTGTATGCAGCAAGGAAGACTGATAACTACACGCGACGGCCGACGTGGCATGAGTATTTGTACATGTGTAATCCATGGTTGTCCTTTGGCTGGGATACTGCCTGGGCAGCCACACCTGGAGAGGACAACTGGGGTCTTCCACAAAGGGTTTTGACTAAAAAGCCTGATAAAAAACAGCTGTGTTTGGCTGGAAGTGAAAGTACGGAACACGTCCCCACACATGTTCAAACCTCCAAGATGGAGGGTCAGGAGGCTGTGTTCTTTGTACCTCTGACCATTGACCAACCTAATATACGACTATACAACACACAGTATAGCTCAATGGGTCGCGGAGGTACACAAACAGCCACACCACGGTAAGGTGTATTCTCATCGTGATAGGTTGAGAAGTAGTTGTGCATGATGACGCTCATCTACGGCAACGTTTAGGAAGTTGTTCTAAGCCTAGTGGTTAGTTCGGACTATTCCATGCTCCTACTGTCGTACGTCAGCACGTATCCTCTGAGTTCGGTTTTCCTTTCATGGGCGTGTGGTCAACCTGCATTATCAACCCCGCATAAACAGTACTGATTCTTTGAAGTGCACCGGCGCGAAACCAAATGGATTTCTGGTTTCCGAGTCACCTCATACAAAACCACGTACAGAGATTCAGGTTATGTTTCTTAGTCTCTCAAAGTCTGTGCGGAGACCATTTGCATCCCATCGGATCTTGAAAAGCGGGGAACGCTTCGAGCTGAACTCGGGGGCTTCGCTTTGAATTGTGAAGGACTCGCAAGATGGCAATCCCAAGCTGGTCGAAACATAACCCCCACTATCGAGTCAGGGTTACCGCCTATTCGCGTAGTTAACAAGTGGGATATACCCACGAGCCTGTTGATGCCGAGTCAGAGGAATATTCCAAGCAAAAGCAGACATGGGGTTTCTGAATATGACCGGGTAATATGGGCCCCTTTATTTCATTCTATTTATTCAGTCCTACTCCACAAAGTTAAGGAAAACGGACGAAACTTTCTTATACCCTCTACAATAAATGGAGGAAACATAAACGTTCGGACTCCGTCTCAATGTTTACAACAACACGTGAAAAACATACGTACCTTGTTCTGGAACGCATAGGTGAGAAAGCTCGGAGTTGCGAGGCCAAGGGAACTGAAAGGATCAATGCCAGAGATCGCGAGTACTATGAGGGAGAATTTGAGTAGCTGGAAAAGTTTCGCAAGAGTGTTTCGCCAGGCGGGTGGAGGATAAATTTCACCTTCGACTTTCAGTGAGGGAAATTCACGAACTACGATTCGTGAGAGTTCCTCAAACACCCGCCGGTATCCTCATGATATACTAACAACCGGAGGTAGAATTAATGGTGTAAACCTACCAATAGACGAAACGAAGTGTTGGGAGAAGACTCTGCGTTTTGAGCTTGGGGATTTCTTTTTGTTGCAAACTTTCACCGTTCATTCCTGTGAAGTCTCTCAACGTGAATACGACGCACACAGCAAAAGCAATAGCCCACATTAGGCTACTCTTCATCATACGCCCGCCAGAAAGGCGCCCGGAATAAGAAGCGTCGTTCGCGGAGTTAGCGACGAACTAAATGAGCCATCCGTGGCTCACGGAGATCTCGACAATCTGATTGGTTCAGAAGGCTCTGTGAATTCACGCACTCATTGATTGATACACACTATCCAGGCATTCGCCTCGTGACAATCGCTTCATTCCAAGCAGAGAGAAGGTGGTCTTCGTCAGGCGAAACGCCGGGTATAAATTATCTGCCGGTGTAGACGACATTTCCTTCAGGATAGTTGGATGGACCTCGTGGGCCCCAACGAGCAGGGTGGGTTGATCGCGTGCACGAGTTGACAAATGTCCTCCACCGTGAATACCAAGTCGGCCAGAGGCTGGCCGTAGTTACCCCTTGGCAAGACCGGCGTAATTACTCCAGTCTCATGGGCCTAATGAGTTTGTGGCTAATGTACATAACCAATAAATAGCACGTTCGTCAGTTTGAGTAGGAAAGTATTTGATATGGATTTTTATGGCGCATGACTACAATTCGCTTATTTATTGGCTTATTGAGGTGATCATCGAAAAATCCGTGAACTGTCCCCGGACCTTCAGATTCACAAAGTGCAATGTAGGATCGAGACTTTCACCAAAACTCCATGGGCCAGCTTTCAACATATCGTTTGTTGGTTTCCGTTTACCTGGAAGGCACATGCAGAAAAGGGTGTAGCATTGCTCTTTATGTTCTCAGCACGTCCCTGCCGTGTGTTTTCGTGACAGTGGCTAAGCCTTGTTCAAACAAGACACAGGTAAATATCAGGTCTTTTCAGAGACGACAATATTCCAAGAGATCAAGCACGGTGAGACGCTTTTTATAACAAACAGATTTAAGGCATCTAACCATTTTCCTAGAAGCTCTTTGTGCGTGCACAACAAAGGTTACGTTTTTCCTGCGTTCTGAGTAGACAGTTTGGTTGGTATACCTAAGAAGAGGTTTGAAATAGGTTTTGCAGAATATATGGAAGATTACGCGAGCGATACGGTGGAAGACGCAGTCATGTATTGATTTGGCCTCCGGGGCGAACGTTTGATGTTTGTGATAGTGATGCACATCTCCTCGTGTTACGTGGAGAGCCTGGGTTTGTTGACGCTAGATCAAAGAGACGGTGCGGCGTGCAGCTGATGCGCGCTGTACTGGCGAATTCAGCTTATTGCGTGTGCACGCGCATATATGTTCATGGTCTAACTTGTGATGGAGTAAAAATTCACACGCGACATTTCGGGTTTGACCTGAAACCGTACACATTGTCTGAACTGTGTCAAGGTTATGTGGCATGTGATTCAGGTGGTAGCAGTATCGTCAAACTGGACCAACTTGTCAAAAGCTGATTAAGCGAAATTGGTTGAAGGAATAAGAAAGCGTCAACCAATGGCGTTCGCTGGTTCTCCTCTGAGTGACATATGGACACACTTTTCTTCATCCAGATGGAGGCGCCAGTTAAGCGCCATTGATTTACAGCGTCCATATTCATTTGGAGGGAGTTGGTGTTTGAACACCAACATTTTGAATAGTCCGCAAACGCAGACATGGATACGAATAACCTCTGAGAAAGCACCAACTTAGATCAAAAGCAAGAGTGTTCTTCAAACAGTTGTCATTAATTTCAATTTAAACCGGTATCGAAGAAGTGCATTTTGAGCCTAGATTCGCTAAGAGCGCTTACCCTGAGTTGCCGGAGTCAGCGATACCGTTATGGTGATCCTTCTGACCATTGTACATTAGTAATTTCTTTGCAACTTATCATTACTCAAATTGTACCACTTTCCAACTCCCACTAACTCTCAGCTTATTCCTCTTCTCTTCATACCGAATAAATTTTGTTTAAATGAAGGCAAGGAAATATGGATGCATACACACAATACAAATTCTGGACTTCGTGAAAGGCGTGTTCCCTTCTTGCTGTGTCAAGTTACGCTGTCAGTGAATTAACGAGCGGTGATCAACCTTTCAGACTACAACGGGATAGAAAGTATCTAGGAATATATTAAGGAGGATTCCAAGATTCAGCAAAGGGCGAAGTGTTTGAGGGCTCAAGTGCCCCTGTGTTTAAAGGAGCTTTATGTTGCTTTCTACAGTTCTTGCACGAAGTTGCCCGAAAATCGCCACTAACCACCAGCAAGTAGCGGAGTAAACAAGCGTCGTCTAAAATTCGCAACCTTCGTGAATGCTTGACTGGAACACCATCTCATACACCCTGCATGAGAGCAATCAATCAAAGCCAGCTCACCAAGTTCAGTTCCGGATATCACTGGGAGAATCACTGGGTCGAATAACGTAAGTATGGGTTCCCACCGTCGCGAAATTGGCGCTTTTTGTGAAACACACGACAAGTATGGTTTGAAATCAGCTAATTTACCACCTTATTGAGTAAAATGGCTAACGTTAACCGTTATGTGTGACTTCACTGGAGCCTAAGTGTTCGCATACTAGTGAAGATTTTTTCGCTTCAGCCGTGCACACAGAAGCTCGTTGCAACACCTGAGACCTAGCCCCTATTGTTACTACCATGGAGGATACGCGGACGGTGGTTTGAGATGTGCAACCTGCTGAACGTCTACTAGAGAACAGGGGAGACTCCAGAAACCCCTACGATGCTATTTGAAGAAAAACCAACAAAAAATAACCCATTTTCGGAGTATTTATGTAATGCACCGGAGACCAAGTTACAGCTGGTTTCTCCGTCACTGGTGCCATCTACCAAGACAAAAGGAATCTTGAGAACAATTGTGTTTCGCCGAAGTACATCTAAAAAGCATTCCAAGTAAATAAATTAAATGAAAATGCTGGTAAACATGTCACTCCCAATGGTAGCTAGGCCCCTGGGAGCGTGGTCCACGAGTTTACTAGGCAAAACAAGCAGCCAACAAACGTTTATTTGAAAACATGTAGCGGGGAGCGATTGAGAAACCCTGCTTTTGTCTTGGAGAGCTGCCAGAACCAATCACAAACTGCTGATCTGATCCCGATTTTATACGCACAGATATATCTTGAAAGGCGTCTTTGCTATTAAGTGTGTGTGATAACACCGGTTTCGTCTATGGGACTGTTGGAGCGTGGCCACTGCCTCTACTAACCGGCCTGAAACTATTTGAAAGTGGGGGGACTGCTTTGTCCTCAGTGTCTTCAATGTCCCCTTGAGCAACTGAACTTCAGAACATGCAATCCAAATACACATGCATGTACCGGAGAATTCCACAGGATATTCACAGATGCATCTTTCCTTAGGCAAGCCAATAAGAAGTTATATCGACTGTGAACCGGTCACACATTCTTATCCGGGCTCCACCGCCGGGGAAGTCAGGCATATCCTACAGGCAAATAGCATTTACGGTAGCAGTGATTACCCTGTATTAAAATTTTGTTGAACTAAGAATGATACGCACGCAACTCAAGATGTGAAGTTGTTGGAATAACTTCGAAAATAATTGTCTGGGACCCCTTGTTCCACCCTAGAACCTGTGCCCTAACTCAACACCTTTCATCTGTGGCACCCTTTCGAGTCTAGCTGCCACGTCACCCGAAGGAAGCACGAGGACTGGGCTACTGCCAGGTTGCCCAAGCCTAGACAGGGTAAGTCGAGGATCAGAGATAAGGTTTGAACCACGTTCCTCTAGGTCAGTAGATTTGCGGCCTGACAACTGGGCAATCTCACCCCCTTACTCAAAAAGCCTTCATCGCCTAACCACTAATTGCAAAACATCTATGTCAATGCCGCCACACGTAACGATAACCTGAATCACCATGGGCAAGTCAGGAAGTTTGACAAATTGCGTCACCTTAAACTTCATCTGAAGGATCACTATCATAAATGGTTCGGTTGAGTAATGAGCGAGTTAAGGCTCCCTGTCAACAATTCGTTAGATTTGGGGCCCGGTTCGACTTAAAAAATGCTGCAGCATGCGCCTATGTTAAGGGATCCACAGACCACGATGACGAATATGGTCTGAGGGTTCATCGACGAGGGGAAGAAACGTTTTTTCACCGAGACAGCCTTGGGGATTCTTTAGTGGCGAGTGGTAGTGCACCACTTCTGACCCGGAGGGTCTCAATTCGAAGAAATCCCTCGACCCAACGCAGTGTTCCCGGTCAAAAGTTATATGGTTTGAACGTAGGCCGCACCGGGGTATTTAAGATCCATTTACGGGCTTTCGCGAATTTGGAGAAAGTGGTGGGAAGGGCGAGTCCATCATCCTTTGTCCTGATCAATCGGTTCATGGGGAATGACGGCATCACACGTAGGTGCTTGTTGCAGCATAAATATCGAACTGATGTTAAGTAGACAACTCTAAGCAATTTGCTTTAAGACGTTTTCCATCGCTGTGCGTGGTTGGGTTGACCTTGAGCGATTATCGGGAATTTTGTTTCCAGGCGCAACAGTCTGGCCTGGACAAGGGAGGCGGAGTTGCAGCCATTCATATCGGTGAGTTAACTTTCAACCATCCATTCCGAAGGCTCCGTGGATACCCGATCAGCTAAATGCGGATCATCCAAAGCTCCCCTATTACTCCAAGAAGTCATTCGGAATAGAAAACAGATTTTGTGTCTCACGTTAGGATCATGGGAACCGTGGCGGTTGAGGCAAACTCGGACACCCCATATTTGCCTGGCGAATTTTTCCGTCCACTCGACCCAGACATGCAGTACCTTCATACCAAAAGCTGAATACTTCCCGCGCTTACAAAAGGTTTCAATAAACTGAAACCACGAACTGAGTAGTTCGTTGGAAAACCTCGTCCTATCTTGGGTTCATCAAGTAGGAGCATCTTCCAAATTTCCCCCTCAAATATTGCAATAAACGAAACATGATACATTCACTGTCCAGCACAATCGGCTGAAGAATAATAATAATGAAAGTTTCGGCTGAGCTTCATGTAAATCTCTTGTGATAACCAGACTGGTATGCAAATGAGTGCGTTTGTCGTACATACGGACAACTTCATCAGAGCAGAAAGGGCGTAATTCGTGCTTGAAACTCTGCGGAACAGATACCACAGTGTACTGAAGCACGATTTAGTTTGGCGTCTTCCTTTGGCTCACCAGCCTCTTCTTCTCGTTACATTGTGGAATGACAGTGTGCGCTGATTTTCTATGGATGAGAAAGCCGATATAACAATGCAGGAGCCCCATAATTGAAATACTTCATTAGGGATAGGGATCTGCCTCTGTTCGCTTTGATCACGCAGCAGACACCATCAGTGCTAACACCACTCTTAAGAATCGAATTGGCCACAATTTACTATGTAGGTCTCCACTGCTGTATTTTCTGCGTAGACATTCGCCGCCATCTTTCGGCAGATGCCTGACTTTTCACGTGCTTTTCGCACTTCGTATCTTGAATTGGCTGGATCCCTACCAAATAACCTCTCTCCTTGGTATCTACCGGAACACTGCTTTCATGAGCTTCTTGAAAGACCTGTAAAAATGCTCCAATTGCACGCAACAATAGCGTGTTTATGGATAAGGTCATCGCTTTTGTCCTTCATCCACTGGACTACAGCTCCTGGGCCTGTATACCCACCCACAGGCAGCAAACCTGTGTACGGTCCTTCTGACTGTTTTACTCCCTGACTCTCCCAATATTATATTCACCTGAAGCTATAGATGCACCAAGCCGGCTAGAGTGTTAGCTTGTGGGCGAACACCTGCTCAATCAATGGGTAGCATGTTAACACAGATATATGCTATAACTTGTCCTTTCATGTGGCATCAGTCAAGAAGGCCCAACGGTGAAACAGACCCAGGTAAATATTTTCAGCATAGTGTATGTTGGTAAGGCGGTTGGATTCGGCTAAGCCCAACAAGCCGGAACACCCGTGACAGAAGGTTCTGAACAAAAAAGCACGAGTAGAGCTCGATGAGGCAGAGCGGCACAAGCGGCGGTTTGGCCGTCACGGCGATGAGCCATATCTAGGGTGCTGTAAACTGATTCAAAGTGAATATCAGGGAAATAGTTACCCGCCTCATGTTGCCAGACAGGTACACGGGATCAGAAATGTACCTGAACTTTTGGGCATGTGGTCGTTGTTCAATGGCTTCGGTTCACCTGAAAGGTACAAACAAATAAAGGGTGCAGTGCCGTTTTCTATGTTCTTGGTACCGTAACACGCCCTCAAAAGGAGAGACCCACACAAATACGGTCAGAGCGATTTGAACTGTCCTCAGGATGCGGCGTGAACGACTGCCGGACCGAAAATATTCCAAGCACCAGCTACTCGGAATTAGAGATTTTTAGCCTGATAATGGTACGTGATCTAATCCTCAAAACACTTCGCAGCTTCCTTACTGTCTATTGGTGGGGTTGGTGGCTGAATATTGGTCAGCACTTAGTTCGTTCAAACTAGACGGTGAGGGCCCCATGGGGCGGGCCAAAGATATCCAGAGGGTACCTGAGAGCAATAGTATTCGGATAAAGTTTCTGGTAAAGCGACTAATGCCTTTTGACATCAACCCAATTTGGATTGCGCTGATTTTGTTATTGCAAGATTTAATGTTGTTCGCAATAAGCAGACATGAAAATGGAAGGGCACCAGGAAGGCCGTTTATGTCGATCGGGAAGGGAAGTGGTCCTAATATTAGACCCTCAGGACCCCCTATTGAGATCGATAAGATGGAATAACAGTTTGGTGTGACATCAATTTGAGAGTACTACTTAAAACCAACTGCAGGTTGAATCGCACGGGCCTCGGGGTTGTGACGCACTGCAAAGTGGGAATCCCGATCAAATGCCTTTGAGAAGGCCAAAAGAATGATATCCTAAAGGAGGCCTTTGGATTTAGCTTGAGTTGCTTTCCATGTTCGCCACCCAAAAGTGGTTAAGGAGGAATCCGCGTTGGACCGGGGGCAGCTAGGTGTTGACAGCCAGGTGATTTGGAGTAAGCCGCTTCAGGTTGCGTTTCACCCGTTTGGGAGACGCGCTAGTGATGACGAATACAACCGAAATGAGCTTAAACCGCTTTCCATCTGCCCCGGTTTATTGAATACCGAAAAAGGAACTGGACGTGTTTGTTTTAATAAGTCGATTTTATTTAACGCTCTGGTTGTCATAATCCATGTAAAGTGTATGAACTTGAAGGTTTAGGAAAAATATTATCACGAAAGGCGCATGTGTGAGGTTTCCGCCCCAAAAATATGTCGAGTACCACTATTTTTGAGAATAAAAAAGGTGGAAAACGCGAAATGTGGATAACCTGCCACATGTTTTTGAACCTCATGCGGAGTAAATAGCTGCAACTATATAATCCCGAATATTTTGACTGTGATTCTCCTCGGTACTCCGGAACAATACCAATAACCAGACTCTCCAGTTTGTTCGACGAAATACTGATCTTGAGGATATTGGAAGGGCTATAGCGTTAAGTGTGACAGAAGTTCATACCACCTCTTACGCGCATTATAGAAAATCATTCAATATGTGGCAGATCACACGCCTACTAAACTTACAGTTTCCAGCCTTGGTCGCATATCTGTGTGAATTTTTCTAGTAGGAACGAACGATCGAATTCTTGATATGCTTTAAAGGACGACCTTGAACGTCAGTAGTAAGATAGCCACTTAACATCCAAATTCGAGCCTATAAAGCCTCATCGCTTTGTACCGTTTCGAATGCTGATGCCTGAGCTCTGGACGCCGTTTGGTTGCCCAGCCATTATACCCCTCTCCACTTGATGCCCTCGCTTTCGGCGCATGAACATCCGATGCTCCATTACCAGTCGCATTGTTGCATCCGCTGCCCACCAGATTTAGAAAGCTAAGCAGCTTACAACCGTATGCACAGAGTCTCCTTCTGAACATTCACGATGCATCAAGTCTCATGGCCTTCGCTAACGCAAGTGTTTTTGGACACTTTTCAATCTAATCGTTTAGTCCTATGAATTCATACTCGTGTATATATATTAACCTATTGAACACGCTGACTGGTGATTGACCGCGCACAATGTTCAGTTTGAACCGCTCTAAGGCTCTCCTCCAAGCTACACTGTTCTTGAACGCGGAGAGCCAGCTTATGGACGAAAGGAAAAGTCAACAAGTTTTGCATGCGCGACAGAATAAAAAGCAGTATATCAAATATCTCTGCTGGAACTGATGCTTAAAAGGTGACTTTATAACCACCTGTGAAATAGGGAAAACTTGCTACTAACCTTGCTGTAAGCTGTAAGCTTCAGAGGACATGAGTTAAGGGTTTCCTTACAGGATGATCTTCTGATTCGCCTTTACTACTTCCACGGCCTGTGCATTTGATGCATGTAGAGGCTGTAGGATTGTAGTCCATTATACTAAGAGACGTAACTCAGGCTCGTGGAAATGAGGCTAAAACATTTCCACGACAACACCCATCAATCGGTTAACTGTGGACGGCAGAAGCTAATACTAATTAAATTATCAGCTGAATCGCATGGACGAATGCAGAAGAACACCGTAAACCAATCAAGGTTAGTGTAAATAGACATCAGAAGAAAATTAATAAATAAACCAAGTACAGATAACAAGTAGACAGGAGGGCAAGGTCTCTTGGGGGCATTCCAAGCTCCCTAACCTAACCTTCATTTCTGATACAAAAGTAAGGGCATTGTGGCACTGGCTGAAGACACACCTGCAAGGCATGCCGAAGTTGGCAAGCCCTAAGTGACATGGTGGGGTACCAATGTTGTGTGACGTTCTACCTCGAACTAATCCACTTTGTGGGATGTGAAAGACTTGAGTCCTCATCCCGCATAATACACTGGCCTAAAGCTAAGCAATCTGGGGCTATGCATCAAGATAGATGATAGATGATAAACCCCATCTTCACGAACTACACAAAATTAGAGCTCATTGCAGTCTGTGGAGAGTAGTAAGGCCCAAACAACCTGTAGCGGAATATTTTGAACCACCCGATATCTTGGAACAGAGGTAAAGTTTTCGTAAACGTATTTTTTATGTACGTTCAATTATGCAACCCAGTAACTATCAGTGTATCGCCATGTTGTAGGACCTTATCCCTATGCCTTATATCTGATGATGATAAAGTTCGCAAACTATCTGGTGCATAGTTTGCTTTCAAAACACGAACTTTTTGGTCAATATGTTTGTGTCCTACCAACTGGGCTACTTCACGCCAAATGAGATGGATTATTCTATAATTAATTCTGTTTTTGTTACCCTGTTGTTGGCAGCTGAACCGTAGGTTGCATGAAGAAGGTAACATCAGGCAGACTTTTTTCATTTTGCACGCAGGTTCTACCGGATCATTCAAATTATCTTTTTTAGAAAGCTACCTAATTGTAAATCATGATGCACACTCCAGTCCTGGCTAACGGGCTTTGTTTGCGGAACCAGCAGTACGAGTACTGTGCCATCGTGGGGTAAGAAACTGTGTTGAGCATAGTTCCTTGGCGCTTAGTTTTGGGCCCTCAACCTGTCGTAGTGTACCAAAACGGTGTGATGAAAACAACGTGGTGAAACAACGTAACAGCAGACAGATGCAAATTATGGGCCATGGTCAACTGAATTCCACACCTACAATTAGGACGCGCTAGACAAAAGATGATAACTGGATACTAGAAGGACATGTCAATTCTATGGAACCTTTGTTGCTATAGACCATGGTGCGGCAACGGAGTTAATTTTCAGTGCATGTACCACCATACAAGGAAATAATGGACTTTTCCATTAAGAAACTGGGTTCTCTGATAGACACATCTTAGGAGCTGAGTCGTTGTTTCCCACTCGCGCTTTGCATCATATGCGAGATGGATAATCTGGCAAACATGCGGCAGCCCCCAGCAAGTAGGACACCCAGCCTTCGATTGCCAGTGGGCTGGAGTTTTACTAATCTCTATAGTAATGCTTATAGAAGACAGTTAAGGATGCGAATATGTCTACAAGACCCCTTCCCCCTCCGAACGAATCAGAAACCAGCTTTGAGGCATTCTGCAAAAACTGAGTTCAGGGATAATGTGTAAAGCGACAGACTCAAATGGATGGATTCCAGGTTTACCTACACCTTGAACACCCGCGCAACTCAAACTTGGATATCAAATCCTGGTATAGAAAACATAAGTTAATTGATTGGATTCGTCCAGAAGGTGACTCAACGAACACATGCGGCTTGCTTTCGACTCGATTGTGACGATGAATTCAGCCTTAAATTTATTCTACCGGAAGATGGTCTGGTTAACAAATTGGAACCTGCTTGCACGGAAAATCTTCACTGTTATTCTCCGCATTCTTCTTAGACCCGAAGCAAAATTTGACTGTAAATGGGAAGCACTGACTAAGATAAGCTACTATGACTACAGAAGTCAACTGCACCTTGTACTCTTTGGAGTGATAAGTTTTTTCTTAGTGGGAAGTGTTTGTATGGATCTGTGCAATTCATTCTCGCGGACACATTACATCGCGTAGTGTACTCACTGGCTCAAGGATTAATATGCGTCGTCCCCTTGTTATTAGCAAACACCCCGGTGATATTACAGGTATGAAGCACCACCTCTTCTTTGAGGCAATATTGGTCCATACGTACTAGGGAATGCACCACAGTGAAAGTAGAATGCCATCCCAGATAAATTTCGAATGTCACGTAGACCCAGTAGTTAAAGTTATTCACACGAAAGATGAATGGACTGATTTCGAGGAAAAAAATAAATGAAAGTTCGCTGAAAGAGAAGATGGTAAGCTATATCTGTAGCTCTAGATCCGGTGCATTCTCGAAATTAGTTTATTCGTTTGCGTACAGTTAGCAGAATGCACCTCACCAACGAACCCAAATTTTATCACTACATTTTCAACCGCCATTTTTCTGTGGTAGCAAGCGGAATGACTTCAACCTATACCGTGTTACAATCAACCAGGGCAAGCATACACTTATTGCTTCTGGTGATATTGGGCAAAGACACCACGGGGATAATCGTTTAGCATTCTTAATGGCCAACAGCTCACTTTTTCTGGTATCGCCGGTTAACCAGAACATGAATAACACCATATTCAGGTCAGAACTCTCTCCTCAAGTCTGGAAGTGCGTGGCGTTTTAAAGCCACGGTTATATTTGTCCAAGCACTTCGATAGTAGAACGTTACGGGAAAAGCCAACGTCGCGTTGTATCACAAAGTAAAGGTAGTAACCTTTGTGGTCTGAGGCCCTTCTGTTTTTCAGCATGGCCCCGTCTTATCGCGTCCGCTGTAATGTGTATAGGTACGAAATCCTTATCCGGTTAGGGAGAATACTCACACGGTATTTCTGTACCTTTGCAAAATGGTCTGATAAATAAGGATTGTTTTCTTTTCAGCATTGGCATGCACGAAGTAGTGTCGCAAAAATCTCCAGATTACCGACTGGTGGTCGGGAAGTTACACTGACACGCCTCTTTACCCGAGTGACTGCATTCAGCTCATAGCAGCAAGGTAAAGCTAAAGGAATAAAGATCACTCAAGGAGACGCGTGCATTCTTCCTCCCCGTAAGTCAGTGAGTGTAGATTAATCGCGTTTTTCACTCGGCTAAGGTACTGCCTCGACGGTATCTGGAAAGCTATGGGTCTTTTTTTCCGGTCTCAGAGTGGTCAGTTCACTTGAAGGCCCCACTTGCTATTTTTATTTATCGAGCTGATTGAAAGACGTTCTTTCCGTCACTAGATGCCAAATTTTTTAGTTTCGTTTTAATCGGCATGGCAGTTAGGCACCGAAAGGGTGTTACGGCTGCTTTCGGCACCCATGCTGCAGCTGACGAGGTTGGCGGTTGGCTAGGACAGTAGTCTCGTGCTTTAGGCTGCATGCCAGTACAGCAGTGCTTAGTTAACATAATTTCGCAGTACAAAGCATTCTTTAGACCTATGCAATGCAAAAATTCAAACCAATTCAGGCAGGTTTATTGTGAATCCTTTGTATCCAGTCTTTGATCATTCAAATAATGGTAACAAGTGTTCATGCCATACCCAAGCATTTTTACTGGACATTGCAATATCCCGGGGACTAACTCCGAAACGCATAACAGATGAATAGGCTTCTAGACAGACGTACATGCGTATGTGGTGTACAGAAGAGTGAATCAACGTGTGTGTAAACGTTCTTAGCTACTAACTGATTCCATATGTTGCTTACTGCCTCCCGGTTGGGTGAATTTTATTCAAGAGTCTCGAAATTAACCAATTTCGACGCTTAGTGTAACGAGTTCTGACGCAAGTACTGTGATGTTGTTCCGAATGCTTGTTTTATTCACAGTTTCGTACCTTGGTTAATCAGTAGGCTGTTGCCATTGTAAAAGTGTACATATATTTTCACTTGCTTATAGGCTTTTCGTCGTTCAAAAGTGGCCACCAAAGTGTTTCTAAAGCGGAATGGTCGGAGGGTTTCTTTCTTCCGTACTGCTGAAAACTATCCTCACCTACTAAAAAGCCGATGGTTTTTTGTAGCACTAGGTAGCGCGTTAACTGGGGTTTCGGGAGCCACATAAGTTGTGAGAATAGTGGCAAAGCATACAGGATAACCTATTAGTACTGATCAACCTGATCTGGTGTGGTGGTTGAATTTCTAAATGTGCAACGTACACCACCATGATGGACTAAATATCTAAACAGGCTCACATGTTCCGTACATTTATGCAATACAAAGACCCCATGAAATACTGGCCATGACAGCAAAAATAAGATAAGATAAGCGCAGGTGAATAGTCATAAACAGACGAGGATTTGATAAGTTTCATCCAAACGGAGTGACTATCTCCAGGAGCACATCACACGAGTGATAGGTTACCTGTTCAGCGCATCTGCTGTCTGTCCATTGCGGTAGTTTTAATGTGGACAAACTTTCATTAAGCGCAAGAAAAGCCGCAAGATTCGACCAATTCAAAATGCCTATCGGGGAATCATTTCAAAAACAATTTTCTACGACGCCGGTGGTAACAGAAACTCGGTACAAGTGACTCTCCCGTCTCCAAAACAAGACAAAGAAGAAAAATTAGACTCGCTGACCTCCACGAATTAAAACTGTTTCAACATTTTTGGGGCATGTTCACGCTCATTTTCGAGTGCGAGCTTCTTCAGATTGTGGATGCTCGACATGTGATGACTGTCCTAACGTCCTAAACGTGAATGCTAGGTGAACCATGGGACAGTTCTGCTGCAATGTACAGTTGTGTAACCTGGCGAGCTATTAAGCTCCTGTTAGTTGGTGGCAGTACAGCAACCTATTCAGGGTAATGTCATTCACCTGATTCGCGCGTCTGAGTCAACTCCGACTAGAACGCGTGGTGTGCAACCATGCAAAACTCACTGGAGTATGCATTTCAGGAGGTTCTAGCCAATCGTATTGGAGCATTCGGCCTTCGCGAACACCAACACTATTACTGAAAGCTCGTTCAGCGGTGGCCTTCTTTCGGTGCCCAGCTGCCATGCCACCCGAAGAAGCACGAGGGCTGGGATTCTGCCAGGTTTCCCAAACCTAAGCAGGGAAGGTCGAGAGAAAGAGGTCAGGTTCGAACCACGGACCTTCCGTTCAGTAAATTCGCGCTCTAACAGCTGAGCGATCTCGCCCCGGTAGGTATTAAATGCACCGCGCATCTATTACCAGGCTTTCGCATCGTTCTAGGTGCTATTACATATGCGCCAACGTTCAGCGCATGTTACTCCATCTCAAAAAAATGTATCAAAGTGAGGATTGGCAGTCCAGTTAAAAGCTCTTGTGTGGGGTTCGAGCTCGGAACGTCGAACTGGTAGTTCACGACCGTATCTTCTCCGGCACGGGATTTCATCGCCCTTTCTTTCTGCTACCTGATGACACGAATGTTTTCTTCAAGTAAACAGGTGTGCGTACATTTTACACAGAATTCATACCGTTTTCAGATAACGCACGTCAGATTTAACCAGTTAAGTGAAACGAGAAATGGATAACACCAGTCATTAGTGCACTGCTGAGATCTGCTTGCCGTGCAGAACCAAATGAAGGTATAAGCCTTAGTCGAACTGTAATTCTGTCTTCTGTCCACAATCTTGAAGAGAAAACCCTCTCATGTTTTTCAGCCACATCACAAGCTCAAGTGTAAATGGACCGTTACGAAAAGTTGACACGGATTGGAGAGGGCGCCTACGGAGTAGTGTTCAAATGTCGGAATCGAGATACCGGCGATATTGTGGCGATTAAGAAATTCACCGACTCAGAAGATGATCCAGTCATTCACCGGATAGCAATGCGTGAGATCCGAACCCTCAAGGTTAGTTTTCGGCTCTTGTTTTCCTTCACCAAATGAGGTTTATTGCAACAGTACCTTTTTACAACACCGGAGCTACTCATAAGTAGGCACAACTGTTCAGTCTGCGCTGCTGTCTGATCAAGAAGTCCTGACTGACAAGCCAGCCGTTGTGGACAAGAAATTGATTTGGACATGAATATGAACCAAAGGGATCGATGATAATAAGCTCGGTGTTTTGTCGTCGACAGAATTGCGTGGCAAACCATAACTGGTTTCTGAGTTTGGTCATTATAACCTGACAGTTAACAAGATTGTTGCTAAGATACGGACAAGCATATGAAAAATAGTTTCTAATCCAAAGTTTAGTGTTTATGACATATAAGTGATCTTGAAGAGGGCCGAAGAAAGCTAACTTCTCATTCAAAGGGTTTCTACAGCTCCATTCAAATGACCTGAAATATTTTTAGTAATCAGACTCTGATCAGTCTGATCCAGTTAAACGAAGCTCGGCTGGCTGTTTGAAGGTCATATGGTAATCAGAAAAGTGACTGATTTATCTTGTTTTACATCCACGCAGCAACTGAAGCATCCAAATTTAATCAACTTGATTGAAGTGTTCAAACGGAAGCGTCGGCTTCATCTTGTGTTTCAATATGTGGACCACACGCTTCTAAAGGAACTTGAGCAACACCCGAATGGGTAAGATTTATGCATCACTCGGTTATCTATCACATGTTCTTTGTAATTGCTTTTACCAATTGAACGCCGGCGGTAGTTTGACAAAACTTGGTGAAATGCAAGCGAACTTGGTCAGGGAAATGAGATAACACGAACTATTATGTACTCACGTCATTCTAATGGAGTCTGCTTGATTCTATGACCTTGTTCAACTTGTCCGCCATGGACGGATGATGCAACCACACATGTTGACGTCTGAACGTTCCTAAGTAGACACTAAAACTTGCCGGTCTGACTGCACCCCGTGTCGTATGGAGCACGTGCGGCGGTCACCGAGCGCGTATGAAACGATCCCATTTTTTCTCACAGGTTGATGAGGTTGGGTGTTTTTCTCGGTTGGAATCGTTTGCGACATGGTGAGTCCAAATGCATCCAAGGTTGAAAAATACTTTGTTGAACAGTGAACGGTCTCAGCGTCAACTCGTTTGAACGTCCAACCGCTGGGTATGCACTCAAAACCAAAAAAAATCCAAGCAACCGATTAGCTGTCATACGGCAGTCTGTAACAAAAATCCTAGCATCACTTTGTTTTCGATATTAGGCTACTCCGAGCACACAGTTACGATTACATTGACACAAATATGTTCTTTGATCGACTAAATCATTTCCGAATCAGGGAAGGGTGTCCGTTTTATGTCAGCGCTCATTCGAGCTGAGATGTTAGCGGATTTTTCCCGTGGGTGTGCGGTACGATTTCTCTGTATCTGATCTCGACGCTTGGAAAAAAGTCAATTCTCTAATAGAACTGTCTCTGAACGGAGCCCCGATGTAGTGACACAATTCCCTTCGGTTTATCAACCAGGAACCGTGTAAAAGTTCACGTTAGTCCCGGTTGTCGTAGTGTTTCGAAGTTTGTCGTGTGGGTTACATGAGGACATTGATGAAACCCATAGACTAAGACCAAAAAGCACAGGGGATGATAAGAGCTATAGAGAAACGGAGAGGAAAAGTAAGGGTATTGTCGGTTCCTTGCCCCCGACATGTCAGTCACGGGGTCTCTGGTACCATATTTTTACCGAGGAGACTAACCAACAGAGGTGGGATCTGTTGTTGACTTTCCCATTATTCGTCTCTGGGTCACATGTTTTCTACCATGCGTATTCACTCGGGGTGGGCAAGTACCTGCAACAAACTTTAGGGTGATTTTCTTACAGCACTTGCTGACTATTCTGGAGTGTAGAGACATGTGACTAACCACCTTAGGTTCAGTTAGGATCACATTATTCCTCACTCCTAGACACAACCTCCGCCTGAGGTTCAGCCGACTGTCTGACGGTGGCAGAACTCAGCCGTTTGCGCATTGCGGTAAGCAGCATGGCATTCGCTGGATGACTCAGTAGTTAGAGCGCGAATTCACTGACTAGGAGGTTCGTGGTTCGAAACCGACCTCAGCCTCTCGACTCCTCCTGTCTTGGACAACCTGGCAGTATCCCAACCCTCGTGCCCCCTTCTGGTGGCATTCCAGCTAGGCACCGGAAGGGTGTTACAGCTGGATGATTGTCTTTTTTTACTGAATATTTATCAAATATTTTCCCATAGAGATGTAGGTTGTAGATAGCTTGTAAACCAAAACAGATCCGTAATATGAAGAAGAGTAGTATGTTTATGCGGATACGCATTTTTAACTGAGTCTTTCACGAAGCTCCTTTCCCAGCATTTGTTTCAGGAAAGGTCATTTGAAAAAGATCTGCTCACCCCAGAGTTTTTTAGCTACATTTGCTTGCCACGCTAATTGTTCAGGTATGTTCGCTCCGGATTGGCCCGTTGGTATTTAGCGTTGGTCAATTTTGGTTTGTATTACTGACTAAAACAGAGTCGATGATTAGATAACCCGAGAACTAGTTTACGTTTTGTGAAAACGTCAGCTGATTGGCTAAAGAATGCTTTCTCAAATTTGTATCAGCGGCTAGTGTTTTCGAACTGTGAGAAGCTGGTCTCATCTAACTTTCCGTGTAACCCAGTGTAACGGTGATGCTACTGATGGGGGCATGCGAGTCGTATGGTTTCTTCTTGTAAATTCGCTGTGCGTCTCTTGAAAAGTGAGATCTGTTGCGGAATTTGTGGAGTCGCTTTGTAGAATTTGCTTGGATTTGAGTAACAGTGAATGGATATCCAGGAAAGTTCAGGAAGACGCGTTCAAGAGAAGATGGATGTTCAGTTTTTGTAAATAAGATGCAAATGAGAGTTTTACTTCCCTGTCCGGTAGTCTGTAACTGTTCCGTTGGCATTTTCTAATAAATAACCCCACAGCGAAGGCCTTCTTCCTTTCACCAGTAGTCCAACGACCCACACAAGTTCTCTTAAAATTTTCCGAGAAAGTATGTCTGTTTTGCTCCTTCTAGATTTCATGAAGTTTGTCTATCGGCCCGGTAGCAGTCAACTGCACATATTCAACAATATTTGTGAACACTTATCACAGTTTCTTCCCAAAACCGGCTAAAATTCCTTTCTGTTGGTGGCCCTGAAGATATTTAGGACATCCGAACCGGAACTTCGGGATACATGGTTCTAGAGTATTCATCATCATCATCATCATCGACAGCATGACATCAGTGTTCAACAGCAGTGTTCAACACTGATGCTTCACTGCCGTACAACCACGATTTATTTGAAAGCCTTATTGTAAAGAAAAGAGTAAAGGCGGACGGGAAAGGGACTTGGTGCTAGCTTACCACAACCATTCTGAGGTTCCTACACCTCTAGACATTCACTCAGGCAATCTGAATAGAAACTGACAACAAGAACGTCACTGACATCGGTTGGTCGGGGGATCACGCGATCCCCCGTCCTGGAAGGCGAGTAGCACCGACAGCCCCAGGCGTTTCGTGATCTATTTCATACTCCTCTGCCAGTTCAAGGGTTGGTCACCTCTCCATTTACGCCACTCTGAGTTGGGCATGGTAAACAGCACTCTCTTCGGCAACTGATGGTTCGGCATGCTCAACACATGTCCCAACCAATGCGGTTTCTGGTGCGGGACACATTCTTCAATGGAAGTACCCGTTGTCAGTCTGGAACCTGTCATCCACAGCTTAGATAGTACATTGGTTGCATGGAAGTTAACCGTCTAATATAATGTAATATATATATATATAATATAATAATACAAAAAGTGGTTTCACGATTACTTTCCCGAGACGATCTCGCCGTTGAGTTGAGTGCGTCTCTTTAGAGTAATCATTGTACCAAATTGCATTCGTTTAGAGGCTAGAGACCAGAGATGTACTGTGTTGAAACGGATCGATTGCCCCATCTAATATACCATCACTGCGTGCTCAAGGCAGTCATTTTTTCGAAGCATTCCACCTTTTCCCATTATCTCTTTCCAATCCCTATTTTCTTCCCTTAACAGTCTCGATCGGACACAGATTCGCAAACTAACCTGGCAGTTGTTGCAAGCACTACACTTCTGTCACACGCATAATGTGAGTCCTCAATTGTTCATCTGGCAAATACAGATCATCTATAGGGATGAACGTGATAAGAATGAATCAGTTAGAGTAACGCACAAGTGCGGTAGGAAATATGCGAGTACTACTCAGAGCAAAGACCATATAACATACAATGAATTGTCTGAATTATGCGGAAGGTAAATAAGATCACCATTCATGACAACCGATCAGATCCGATAGTTTCGCAGTATGAATAACACAGTGAAAACAACAGTGTTGTAGGGTGAATTAGTTTGGTGAGATATCGTCTACTGCAATACGTACAAATCTGAATAGAACCGGGCTAATAGTATCGTCTGTAAGGAACTAAATTGTAATGCGACCAAGCGACAAACTCAAGCGAGTTTCAGGAATTTCTGAGCGCACAATGCGGGCCTGATGGGATCAATCGATCTATGCCTTTAAGGGCTTCAGTGAGTGTGAACTATTGCTTCGTGTTTTAACTTGGAAAGGAGAGTAAATATCTACCTCGTCTCTGATCTCGACCAGACAACTTGTTTTTGACTTCTTCTAAGTCTAATCGACAGAGCACGGACAGAGTACGATTTCATTTGAACAGGTATTCTTTTACTCACATTTCTAAGCTTCCATCAGTTCTACTGTAGTATGTATCCCTGCAACTGTATGTGAGTTGGCAAGTGCGATGACCAGCTGATGAGACTGACTTTGGAGTTTCGGTCATTGGCAGTGGTGTGGCTTTCTTCTTTGTGTCCGAATGGTCATCTGTGCTTGAGCCCAGGGCCACGTTTAAGGTCCGTTTAAACTGGCTAAAGGCATGATCACAAGTGTATGGGGGCCTTTAAGTGAATGAACTTCTCCTGACGTGTGATTTTTGCTTCTTTGTCATTCGTTCTGAGGCGTATTTCAGTAGATTCATCTCTCTAACCAGATGTAACAGCACATGTGGGTGTCGAAGGGATACCGTTAGTATAGAGACGAGAGTTTCCAATGTATGTCAACTGTGAAATCTATATCAGGGTTTAAGTAGTTGACGAAAACTCGGGAGTGCGCCTAATCTGATGAGCCCCAAGAAGGGCAAAACCGGTCGTGGGTTGTCGAAGAGTTTTCAGAAACCTTGTGAGTAGTTTCCTTTATGAAATTATACTGTGGGATCTCAAATATCGTGCCAACTGAATCATGAGGCGGCCTTGATACAGCACATACAGTTGTAGAATATCCTAAACGAGAGATCCAATTTAGTCTCTCGTGAAAACAAAATTGATTTGCAAATGAGTGCAGTTCTCGAAAACAATGCAATTTGGGTTCAAGTAGATCATAAGGTTGACGGAAACTCGGGGACTGCGCCTACCTGATGAGCCCCAAGAAGGGTGAAACTGGTCGTGGGCTGTCGAAGAGTTTTCAGCAACCTTGTGAGTAGTACCCTTTATGCAAATGTGCCAGACCTACTTCTCCATTGTGGGTCCACCAATGGAAATTGATTCTCTGAAAACTGAATACTAGAGTAGTGCTGGTCACCTCTATCGCGGTTAAACAACAGTTTTTCAAATCGGTTGGAAGGTTTGATTCAGTCTGTTTGCCACTTTGAGCACCTTTTAGGATAGAAAAAAATGAAACACTCTCTTTTCATTCATTCCACCATTAGTGCATTCACCGAGATGTCAAACCAGAAAATATTCTAATCACAAAAACTGGACAGCTGAAACTCTGCGATTTTGGGTTCGCCCGCGTTTTGAGTAAGTATGTACCACACACGAGTTTTTTCTCGTTACAGTGACATATTGTGATTTGACGAAGTTGATACATGAACCCTTTTATGAATTCTGCGTTGTGTGACGACTCGCTTCTGGTTCTTTCTTGTTATGTTTTAAACGTTAGAGCACTTTTAGAAAAAAAGAATCCTCACTTGAAGTTCTCTCTCTCTTCTCACCCCTGAGAAGCGTGCATCCTTCCGGTGGAGAGAAGGGATTCAGCTCCATATTTACGTTTTTCTCCTCAAAACCTCCAAGAGATGTGGCAAAATTAAACGATCAGTCGCCTGAAATAAAACGTAATGCAGTGACAAAATATCTCTAACGTTTTCGCTTCAGTGATTTTTCCCCTTCTGCATGTTGTAATGCGTGCGTTGAACGTCTATCGATAAATGGACAAGTAAAAACCGTTGAATGCAGCCTACATGAACTTCTGCCTGATTGATTGACCTCTGGGACTCACTCATCTTTGTTTCTCGGTTCAACTTGTTCCGGGAAACCACCAAGTTCTAGTGTTGAAATACGTGTCGTTGTTTTTTGCTAGCGACAGGAACGTTCGCCTCACTGAATCGAAGCTATCAACCACTGTGACCTACAGCGTCATGCATACGAACCCTATACGCATGTATGTCAAGCTGGAGACAGATGAGTGACGTTTCAGGACCACAGTTTTCCTCTTGTCACTCGCCTTAAGTGGAGGCGTGAAAGTCATCGTTTTGACACCAAACTGGTGGTGCTGAGGAGCTCTCAGAGACCTCATGAGCAGTGTGTTCCGTCTAAACTTGTGTTTTAGCAATCGGTCGTTCTTCCTATTGCACGAACATGAGTACAACTTGACCTGATGTGGTTGAAGTTCGTAAGCCTGGCGCGGGACGCAGATGGTAGCCGCGTAAACAAAAATGGATGGGAAATTGTAGTGTACATGTTGTCGGATAAGGTTGCAAATGGGGTGTGTGATTGTTACGCGATTTTAGTGTTTGTGACGCGTGATCTACCAAGTGACACTATTAGGACCAGAGTACATACGATTCGTTACCGACCACAAAGAATTGTCATTTGGCAACACAGTAATGGAATTCTGCTCCCCGTTCCTTGGTTTTTAATGTCACCACTCTGCTGTCCTTACAAACACAAACAGCTCCTGGTCTACTTGGTTCACAGCAATGATGGTGAGAGTGAGGGTAAAATTGCACCCTGAGAAGCGTGCATCCTTCCGGTGGAGAGAAGGGATTCAGCTCCATATTTACGTTTTTCTCCTCAAAACCTCCAAGAGATGTGGCAAAATTAAACGATCAGTCGCCTGAAATAAAACGTAATGCAGTGACAAAATGACTCGAACGTTTTCGCCTCAGTGATTTTTTCCCTTCTGCATGTTGTAATGCGTGCGTTGAACGTCTATCGATAAATGGACAAGTAAAAACCGTTGAATGCAGCCTACATGAACTTCTGCCTGATTGATTGACCTCTGGGACTCACTCATCTTTGTTTCTCGGTTCAACTTGTTCCGGGAAACCACCAAGTTCTAGTGTTGAAATACGTGTCGTTGTTTTTTGCTAGCGATAGGAACGTTCGCCTCACTGAATCGAAGCTATCAACCACTGTGACCTACAGCGTCATGCATACGAACCCTATACGCATGGATGTCCAGCTGGAGACAGATGAGTGACGTTTCAGGACCACAGTTTTCCTCTTGTCATTCGCCTTAAGTGGAGGCGTGAAAGTCATCGTTTTGACACCAAACTGGTGGTGCTGAGGAGCTCTCAAAGACCTCATGAGCAGTGTGTTCCGTCTAAACTTGTGTTTTAGCAATCGGTCGTTCTTCCTATTGCACGAACATGAGTACAACTTGACCTGATGTGGTTGAAGTTCGTAAGCCTGGCGCGGGACGCAGATGGTAGCCGCGTAAACAAAAATGGATGGGAAATTGTAGTGTACATGTTGTCGGATAAGGTTGCAAATGGGGTGTGTGATTGTTACGCGATTTTAGTGTTTGTGACGCGTGATCTACCAAGTGACACTATTAGGACCAGAGTACATACGATTCGTTACCGACCACAAAGAATTGTCATTTGGCAACACAGTAATGGAATTCTGCTCCCCGTTCCTTGGTTTTTAATGTCACCACTCTGCTGTCCTTACAAACACAAACAGCTCCTGGTCTACTTGGTTCACAGCAATGATGGTGAGAGTGAGGGTAAAATTGCACTGGGTTGTTTCGCTCGGGGTATCCATAGTCAGCGATAAAACTGATCAATGACCTTGATATCCGTCGATGTACTTTTTTTGCGGTGAACGAGCGTGTGCAGACATAAAAATTACACTGATCAGTGGCTGTCACTCTATGGCGCAGGACTCCCGCGATGGACTTATGGAACTGAAGAGCACGGACTAAAAAGTATATCACTCGGTGCAATTTGGTAACCACCACGATCCATAATCCATCTTCCGGATCGTAGAATACATACTCACATGACTCTCGTTTGCATAATCGTCCTCCTGTCTCGGTTCAGTCATCCTGGTGAGTCCACACCAAAGGGGAAAGCACCACCTTTGAGTTTCGCTCTTATTGGAGCTCACCAGCAGTGCATTCTACAAATCTCGCAACCATCAAAACTAAGACAAGTGTCCAGCAGGTTTCAAGCGTCTGTTGCGCTACTTGACTTGGAAGTCCTGACTGGCGTGCCAATCGATCGACACAACCTAGGTAGGTTACTGGGTCGCGTTCGAGGCGTCGGGCTTTCGGCAGTCATCACTCGCGGGCGAACATTTTCACCTGCTCAGACGAAAAAAAATATTTTCTACTAGGGCCAACAGGCCGGGATCTTCTTGACAGCACTCTCCCATTAATACAAAACATTTTGGCAAGTTCCCCTCTTCCTGAAACTAGCTTCGTTTCGGGAGCAGTCAGGAAGGAGGCATCGTGGGACTCCTAGGTGATGCTCCGTCACCCAGAAACTAAACGGGTGAAACTCTCACCAACGAGGAGAACTAATCAACCATGCAACTGGATTTGCCACAACTCAAGACCCGATAGCTATGAAACAGAAGTATGGTGAAACACAGCGAAAACTCCCCACATCAGCATCAGGGTGAAATTTTTTGCACACACGTCAAACAACGGGCGGTGTGCCAATGATTCAACACTATGGTGGTGGGGCACACTTGTCCCTTGTTTTTGAACTAGCATGGATGCAAAGACACATCGGTTTGTTACACACCTACTGTTGTATCGTGCGTTGGGGGTGGCCGTCTATGGGGTTACGCCTGCACTGAGCCTGCCAGACTACGCGATAGGGAGAAGACAGAGAACTGGGGACACGGCTGTATTGCCAGGACAAAACATACAGAGCGTCTGCGTAAATATATATAGGATGACTAATTGGCCTAATATGGTCGTTCACTTGTTCGCTCCGTACAGCCAATGGTGGTGTTCCGGTCGTGAACAATCTCAGGCCCACTACGCTGGTCGTCTGTTGCTAAGCCGTGTTTGGTGGGAGCCGCCGACTCACCTACTTTCCGGACGTGTCGAATCGATGGTGACCTTGGGGGCGCGTCACTCTCTGTACATGTGCTTTTTCTTCTGTCTGGGAGTGTCCTGACACCTACCCTGATCCATAAAACAGTATATTAAAGTGCAGATGGAAAAAAGCTACTCTACACCGTGGATGAGCAAATCTCCCCTAAATTTCGGATCAAAACATGTGTAGGAACCATGCGAAATTTCTTTCAAACATCCGCTGATGAGTGGGATCCATACGGATAAACGTGCGCATAGCAGAACTAATGGTTTCGTATTTGCCACTTGCGGCATGGATTCGAGAGATGAACCCATGCGGTGCCAATTTACACGCAACGATACGGTTTTTTAGCAGCCCTGTCTGCAATTGTCCGTTCATGACCGATCTCAAGCCGGCCGTGGTGAGCGACAACCATTGTGTGGTACTCAGGGAATCATCATTCCGCAGCGTGTCCACTCAAAGATTCAAAGCACCACAAACCGAGTCAAACCAAACAGCAGTCTTCGAGAAATACACTCATTTGCAAAGCAATTTGGTTTTCACGAGTGTTATATCTCCTGATTCATCAATCTGTGGTATCTGCTGCTGACCCGCTCCAGTGCCTAGTTGCCGGAAAAAAGACGCACAGAAGGGAACACAACAGCTATATTCCGAGCAAACGAGTGCGAGAGCAAAAGTTACAACGGCCCCACGCTATTTAACGGGGGCTTTCTGACGTTGATCCAGGTTGTCTGATAGGCGTTAGTGAACACACATCAACATCGATCCTGCCTCTATGAAATGCCTGAACGCTGATCACATTCGGTCGTGCTTCTGTGGCGTGCATAAACCCTCATCGACTTTTGCTGAATTGATTGAATGACTGACTGGCTTGGAGCAGTAGGTTCCGGGCGTCCTGAGGTTGCTTTCAGGAATCTGACCTTCCTGATAACGAGAGACTCAACTGAATCTCTCGTTTATGAAATTCTGAAACTGAATGTGCTGTACCACGCCACCAACTGAAACAGGTGGTGCAGCACATTCAGTTGTAGGATATCATAAACGAGAGGTTCAGTTGAGTCTCTCGTGAAAACCAAATTGATTTGAAAATGAGTGTACTTCTCGAAAACGGTCCAATTTGGGTTCAATTATAACGTAAGGTTGACGGAAACCTGGGGACTGCGCCTACCTGGTAAGCCCCAAGAAGGGCGAAACCGGTCGTAGGCTGTCGAAGAGTTTTCAGCAACCTTGTGAGTAGTTTCCTTTGTGGAACAGCAATCTTTTGAGACTTGAATGTGAGTTGACCACCTGCGATCTGTGACAACATACATTGGCGGTTCCAGTTGGTACATGGCTTACCTTGAGTGCCGCCTTCAATCTTTTCGAACGCAGAAACTGCCCGAACGATTTTTTTTATTCATTTGTGTGGAAACTTGCATTTTCAAGAAAATGAGGTGAACCACAGAAACTTTCTTTCCGTGCATTCGGTCTGGCAGGTCTCCAAACCGCTTAACTAAAAAATAATACCACTCTAGATTGAGAGCACCGTAGTGGCTAGCGAATTGTGTGGAATAGAATTCAAGAAACCCCCCATCACTTAGATCCCAATCATTTCATCGTAGAAAAACCGCTTAACCCATCCTTAGTGACAACATGGAGAAAAAATATATGCTAATAAACATTTTCTCTTACCTGAGGAAATCTACTCACAAAGTTGCTGAAAATCCGTCGACAGTCCACGACCCGTTTCGCCCTCTTGAGGCTCATCAGGTAGGTGTATTCCCCGAGTTTTCTTCAACATCCTGTCCTAGTTGGAGAGATTTTGACAAATGCACTCATCAATCTGGAGACTCAACTGAATCTCTCGTTTATGGTATCCTTGTGCAGTGGATCATTTTTAAAAAAATACCATAAACGAGAGGTTCAGTTGCGTTTCCCGTGGAAACCAAATTGATGAGTAAATGGGTGTATTCGTCGAGTTTATCTTACCTGTTTGGGTGGGAATAACAACCTATCCGTTACTCAGGTATCCATTCGTTTTTTTTTCGCACAGCTTTTGTTGCGAACCGCCCATCTCATCGCAAACGGAAAAATTCCGCTTTATCAGAACACTGATTCCTCCTAAAGGCATAGTTTAAGCCTTAAGACAAAGGTACGCCTACGGGCACATACGGTTGAAGGTATGTAGCTAGGTGTACACATTTAAATTCATATTATATATACATATAATGTAGCGCATTTAAGTCAGCATCTACTGGTGAGGTTCCACGAATTGGCTGAAGTGAGAATAATCGGTCGTGTATGAAGTACAGTGCAGTGGAGATGCATCTACATCTCTTCCAAATGCGTTTCTTCACTCCATAACTTTCTTCGGGGGGTGGGCTATGTATATAGTTTGGTGCAGATGTGCCTGAAGGTTTTTTCTACAGGTTGCAAAAAGCAATGTACTGGGCGGTTGTTGACATCGGTACGTCATAGTGACGAGAGAAGCTTCAGATGTTCGCAGTACAACTTTAATAATCAATAAGTATCCGAACTATAAAGGTATCCCGCAATTGTACTACCTCGTGAATTTATTCTGTAGCCCATGCCGTCATTGTAGGTGTTTCTGATGAAAGGTTTTCGTTATCATCGTACGCCTTATGTGGTGAGCGACATCCTCTTTCTCGCTTGTGGATTTGTTGATCTCCAGAACTGCTGAGAGATGTCATGTCGTTAATTCGTCCCACCGTCCCAGATCCTCGTATTTGCAGATTATGCTGATGTTAACGGAAGACTTAATAAATTGGTGTTCGAAAAGGACATACGTTTGACAGGAATTCGGGTTACTTGATGAAGAGTGAAACCGGTCGTTGTTGAAGAATTTCCACCAACCTTCTCGTGGCTAAAAAGCTAGAATTCCCATTTCACAGGAGGATATCAACTTTCCACTTTGTGACAATCCCTCACATTTTATTCCCTTTAGGTTACTAGTTCATCCACAAAAATTCGCAAAATTTGCGCGTGTTTCAAATAAAAGTTTGAGAATAACCGGAAAGGCGAAAGGCGCTTGTAATATGACGTCAACTCGCTGGATAACGACGTGGCTTAGCCATTCACATTAGGTCGAATAACCTACGTGTTCGTGGAAGTCCTTTTCTGTGGATAGTCCACAGTGATTTACATTTTTTGTGATGGCATGGTAATCACTTGATAGAATAAGACGATTCGATGTTTTCCACTTTACCAACTTCGCTTCGAATGCTTTCAACGGTATGATTAAACCATATAAGGTCACCTTGGCGTTTTGCAAATATAAAATCGATATTTTTTGCTTTATACTCACTAGTATTCAGTAGTACTAGAAAATACATGGAAGGTAAAATAGTTCAGAATGGTGGAGGAAGTATTTTGACACACTGTAGCTTGCCGGCTTCTGAGTTTAGCAACGCATGTCTAACAACATCTATTCTTGATGAAGGAAACTACCCACAAGTTTGCTGAAAACTCTTCGACAGCCCAAGACCAGTTTCGCTCTTCTTGGGGCTGAAACATGAGGCGGCCTGTGTGCAGCACATACAGTTGTAGAATATCATAATCAAGAGATTCAGTTGGGTCTCTCATGAAAACCAAATTGATTTGCAAATTACTGTATTTCTCGAAAATAGTCCAATTTCGGGTTCAAGTAGAACATAAGGTTGACGGAAACTCGGGGACTGCGCCTACCTGGTGAACCCCAAG